ACTTCTATGCAATATAGAGCTGATATCGAGCTGAACACGCAAATTGAGTCAGCTTGATCTCAGTGGATGGCAAGTCGGTCAGTCTCGCGTTTTCTTCGGAGCAGAATACCGATAGATAAAGTGCCCTCTGAAGATTTCAAAGATCAGATATATTTGCTTCGGAGCTCAACTTCTTTCCTTCTGAAATATATCGTCTTAGCGCTGCAATAACAACCAGAATAAGGCAGCAGTTCTGTCCAGGAACTTTAGAACCCATCGAACACATTATAAATATTGCGTATACGGAATTCATACGTGCACGAGTGTTGTGAATCCCGTTAAAGTCATACGAGGGGATCTCCTTACGTGCGGTTCATGATTATGAACTTGAAAGTCCGCCTGTCTGGATTTGTCACACAACTAAGAACTTTAAATTAAGGACGTCTTCATCGAAAGTTTTCTAAAATGTTAATTACAGAAAAAAGTAAATTTTGTTGGACAGGAGATGGCCCTCACTAGACACAGTAGCGTATCGTATCTCCTGATCATCTGAGTATCTAAATATGACATAATTCCGTCTGTCTAGGATAGACTAATCATCATCTATGCAAGATGATTGATGTGAAATGGTACTGTTACCAACGAGGGAAAACGAGCTACAGGTGCCATTTCTTTCAAGCAAGCCTGAGCAGTTAATTGCCAGACTTTGGTCACTGTCAAGATTGAAATTGCGAGCCTATCAATGTAAAAGGTAAGGTGTAACCCAGAGTTCCAGCCAAAATAGATCCCATTATGGCGTATAAGCCCCATGATGTCTTCGGCCTGAATGTTCCTTGGCTCGCAGCCGCTGGTGTAGCAGCCGTTTCTATGCCTGATGGCAGCTTCGTAGGAGACGTTGCCAGGGATTCCTGAGTGGAGAATGAGGCGCTCAGTACGCCCGGGGAATTTGATATCGTTGTCATAACTGGTATTGTCATCCAGTTGAGGTCTTTGGGGGCTAGTGTGGCGTGAACCGAAATCTTGTTGGTAGCATAGCAGAACGCATACGTCGTTCCAGTAATATGACACGAAAGGGACGCGGTGCTGCAATAATTAATTAATATCAAAAGTTCTTTGAGTGCGTACGGGGTACCAACCTATTCTTTTTGTTGACATCCACCAGCTCTACGGAGTCCTTCTTAAGGATAGCCGTCATTCCTGCTTCAGAAACGCCGCAGTCAGATGCAGCGACGGTTTGAGGGCAAGTCACAAGGAATGTGGTCGCTTCATCATCCTAGAATGTAGATAAGAAGTTAATTCAGATTCTGGAAGTCTAATATCTCGGCATTTCCTCACATACGGTAGATAATATGCTCGCTTCCAATTCACGCCCTTGAAATCCCGGCAGTAGGAGGCTGACTGTTTGTCCGAGAATTGTGGCAGCTGCACCAAAAAGGAAAATGCAGTAAGTGAGTAACATATTCATTCAGATTGCGGCCGTCACAAGCTTCGGAAGATGACTGTTTCAAGTTCGGACACTCAATCTGTCAAATCATAGGCTTGATATGCTGCCGATAGCTGGGATGGCGGACTATTGTATTATGACTGTGAAACCTTGATTTTTTTCAGCAGGAACCACGCGAAATCCTAAAGATTCCTCTTGATAGGCGAGAAAACCAGAATCTATCAGCAAAGTACTGTGGGAAACGTTTGTGGTTACCTGGGAAGATTCCGTTGATGACCTCAAACGACCGGTAATTAAAAGCTGTTGTGACTAGAAACACCGCTTTGGGGGTCTGTGAGTCTTTTTTTTTTCAGCACCTCTTTGATAATTTTCATAGAATTTTTGAGGTTCTATCTGGCAACTTGGGTACCCTTGAGCGGCCGCAAAATTGCGAAAGGAGCGGTACGTCCGTAGCCAAAGAGCGCATAAAACTTCTACCGATGATTGTATTTTTGTTTGATAGCCAACATTATTGTATCAATTTTATGGGAGCAATGAAAGCTTGAGGCCTTTCAGCTATTGATAAGTGAATCGATTCCCATTTATAATTCCACGACAACTCATCATAAAAAAGTCTTTGCAGATACGTTCGGCATGAGTTCTTTGGCCAAGTCAAGATTTTGATGGCTATGTAAAATCTATCGGAAATGGAGTATGCTCGAAATCTCCTCCAGCTTTATTCGAAACGAGCTATAAGTAGTTTCGCGCGTGTCGCAAAATGCCTGGTTTGAAGAGCAAGACAGATCCTGGTCTGCTGAAGACACCCCATCTCCAGAAGCGAAAGAAACATGCGTCGTTTGTTTATTTATTCTACATTCATCTCGGCGGTCTTTGGCGGAACGCTTCAGATCATTGACCATAATAACCAATGTTTTGTGTATTCCACGGAGAACTTCGACTGCACCGGGATCTCGGAGCCGTTTGCGCCTCTTGACGGAATATCATGTTCCCGTAAGTAATGCAATCTACTGACGAAAAAACAATTTTTCTGATATCTTTGAGACCTGAGCCCAGAAATCAAAGACACACACGCCAATTCGTCGTCATTCAAAGCCATGCTATGTGGCTCCGGTCAGAATACTGCATGGGTTGAGGTACATCGAAGCGGCTTGATCAACTTCCATAATGAAGAAGGGGATGCGGCAAGTTGCAAGGTCGCGGAGCCCCTGGTTAAGGGAAGCTTGTGCACCGCCAGCAATAAAGCAAGGGCTTCGACGAAAGGCAATAAATCCCAACTGACTTCTTCGTCTACCACAACCATCCATGTGTCAGTGACAGCGCCATCGGCGGCCCCGACTACTCCCTCGGGCCCGAACAGCTCTTCGAATATGACAGATTGCTAAACACAAAAATTTGCTTGATTTTTTAAGCTTGTGCTAGGCTCTGCTGCTTCTATTCTATCAATTAAGTCTACAATTTGACTATGGAGCCCCAAGCCCGGCATGGGATGTTCTTCTTTCCTTGCACCTCGCTGCCCAGGTCTCCAATTTACAATTTACAAGCAGTCTACCTTTTTAGCACAAAAATAAAGTAAGAAAAAAAAATCTTTGTATGCCTGAAGATTATATGAGAGTCCTGCATCTATTGAAATAACATGAATAATCAACCCAATGGATCTGACAAAAAGGGAGCCAGAGTTTCAAAGCAAAAACTGGGTATTTGGTATCTAATCTCATGCTGTTGTCTACTTTTAGTATAATCGCAGGACAATAGATTGGTTATTTAATCATTGCCGCAGCATTTATCGGAATGGACAACCTATTTTTAGGTTTATGGTTCCAGAAAATGGTTCTAGAAACCGCTGAATCGATAGCATGGCTACTATATCAATATTATCTTCATGCATCACACGCGAATTACATCAAGATCTAGCTATACATTATTTATTTGCAACCGGAGGCAGGCGAGGAAAATCCTTTTGGAGGCAAAAGCAGTTTGATGTCACATTTTGGGGTAAATATTTCATACTTCAAGGCGGCTGGGACCTCAGACGTAAGCCATGAAATGGAAGGGGTGATCATTGCGAAACATGAACATCATGTTCTAGGTAGAAACTTGAATCTTCTCTATATTAGAAAGCCGGCCAGCCCTCCAATGTCAATCGACCGCGAAACTTAGGGTCGTAGGCAGGACTCGTATTGTCCAAGGTTGCTACATAGCGGTTGCGACCGCCCATTTTGGCATGAGTCTGGTAGTGAGCTTCCAAATTGTCCGAGCGTTTGAAGCTGCGATGACATTCTGGCACCCAGCATACGTACGGTCTTTCATCTGAGTGGCAGGTCAGATGTCTCTGGAAGGCCGCTCGGCGCCTGAATTGGCGGTCACATCCCGGGTATGTGCACTTGAACTGCCGCTGGGGTATTTTGTGTGGCAATTTCCGGAAGCTCCAGTCCGGAGGCACCTGAGAGAAAGAAAGAGGCGCGGCGTTCGCAGGCTCTTGAGAAACTGGGCTCGTTGCAAGCGCTTCATTGCTGTCAAGTCGCATAAAACAGGAGTTGCAGGTAGGGGCCACCTTTGCCTCAAGGGCATGAGGCTTGGAGGATGACTCTAATGGGGTGAAAGGATTCGAATTGGGCATATTTTCCAGCCAGCAAATGACAGGGATCGGCTCGCAATGGATGAAGCTAGGATCGGAAAAGTGTCCTGGTCGTTGAAAGCCGCAACCGACGACACCATTTCGATGAATCTGTCGCACGGTTTCTTCAGGACTAAGTACCCCAAGCGACTGTTCTGGAAAGGCCGTACGGATGGGACGTGTGATGAAGCAATTTTCGGGAATCGGGGGCCATTGATCGTACGGCTCTTTCATGATTGGTCTTTGACTCAAAGAATGCGAATTTATTTGGAAACAATCATTCGGAAATTGGACGCACGGGATATGGCTCTGTGACAGTTGGCTGCTTTGTACAGAGTAGAAGAAAGCGAAATGCAACATTGGCGATCGCATAATCCAAACACCAATCTGCGACGGGAGAGGTTTGGGCGGCAAGATTCTGAGCGTGAGATAGACCGAGGCCGCCAGTAGCTTGATACAAACGGCGAGCAGATATGTATACAAAAGAAAATGGCGATATACAAATCGATGGAATTATGGAAAGTTTCCTCAATACTTTCATGGAATACTTTTGACAGCACCCAGTTGGTGCATTGTACAAATATAGGAAAAATGCGTTTGAGCGATGTCTCATTTATCACTGTTTCAACGGCTGAAGTGACGGTGATGATTCCACGCTGAGACAACCAAAGCTTACTCCGACTGTGCCCCTTTTAAAATTTTCTCTTGCACGAATTTCTTCATCTTTTTCAGTAATTACCAAGTTAACGTTGCTTCACTTGTTTCAGACTGAGTTATTTGTCGACCACATATTCCTTGCTAATAAACAATTGGTTATAACAACATCATCAAGCGTTGAGCATTATGGAGAACCGAATTTGCTGGCTTTATCGGTCTTCGTGGCTATAAATTAGATGAAATAAAGCTTAAGCTGTTCATACTACACATATCCAGATTCTCAAATATATTACTTTGAACAGAGAAATGGATCCTTTTGCTGTGTGCCATGACCTACAAGGGGACGAAAAGACCGATTCCGATCCAACTTCAGGCCCAGATGAGCGACTGAACCCGGAATTGGCAGCTGAAGAGACTCCTACTCAGGTAAGAACTATTTTAACTTCTAATGTCTTGCATGATGCTAATCAACGCAGCCGGTCCCCCAGGGGCCAGCCGACGAAGAACAAACTTCAGCAGCAGAACCCTTCCAGCCGATACTACAGCTTCTTGCAGAGCTTGAAAGGGATGATCCAAAGCTCGCCTTTCAAGCAGCTCGAATTTTGGGACTCTATCGACGACTTTGGGATTCATGCATGTCGAAACATACTGGCAGTGAGAAGCTCCGTCAGACCAACCAGGAGTTGAGAAGGGAGAATACACGACTGGAAAATGAAAAGGGGATGCTTCTAGCTCATCATGATGAGCAGCTATCTCAGTTCGATCATTTAAATCAAGCATTGGAGGCGTCTCGGGGGCGATTGCTCAGCATTCTCAATGATTGGGAGCAGTGCTCGGAAGGCCAACTGGCAGGGCTGATGAATTGCGAGCGAGGTCAGTGATAGAATCTTGGTCAATCTATCTTCCACTGTACCTACGAGACAGTCAGGTAAATTGTGGTGTTTGTTCAAATTTATGTTTCGCCTCTCGATATTCAAAGTCGGATCCATTTGACCTCACACGTCACAGTAGATCATAAATAAATTAATGACATCTGGAGATAGCGAAAAGATAGGATGGGCGGTTAATTCCATAAGAGCTGCAAGGATTGCCTAATCTTATCTTCGAGCTGTAAGAAGAAAACCAAGCTATTCATATTTGTCGATGGAAGACCTGCTATGCGAAACGGAAGCTATTTGAGAGACATCACAAGACAGCGATTGATGGGGTCGTAGAACTTCGCCTTGCTTCACATACATGGCAAATCACATTTCCATGGAAGTTCCAGCTGAAGTGGTACTATCGAAAAGAATAAATATTTCTAAACGGACAAAGGACGTATGGCTCTGTGCATGAATCAAGGCCTATCAATGCGATAGAAAGGGAGATCGATGGTTTGCAAGGCCGATATGACATTCACATGGAATGCCTTCACTGTCCGTTTTCGACTCTCTAACTCCACTCCCTGTCGGTTGCAGCACCGGAGGAGACTATCAGTCTCTTCTTCCAGCAATTCGTTGGTCTCGCATAACTGGCGCCGTTCATATTCAAGCCGGATACTCTCCGCAGATTTCACAACATAACTTTCCCATAGACATAGATACAAATCCAAGAGTCTTAGGGCCGGTAGGGCGAGGTCACTATTGCGGCCTAGGATTTGCTTAAGTTGCGTCGTAGGGAGGTTGCTCAGTGCGGTAGAGCCTGGGGCGGGTGAAATATCCTCTGCGTTCAGCTCGTCACAAGTGTCCTCGGAGAGTCTTCGCTGTCTTTTGGCCGGCCGATCGGCGGGTGAAGGGGATGCCGCGAGTGGATTCATTAGGGAAGAATGGGAGAAGATTGAGCGTGCACAAGAGAGCGGGTTTCCATGGATTTTAAATACAGCACATTAATCTGGGAGAGAAAATCCCTGCCATCAAATATCCTGGGCCATTCGTAACCCGTGTTGCGTTGACAGACAGTCCACGCACGTTCTAACCTTTGATGCACGACGTTGAAAACCCGTGGCAAGAGCAACGCAGTTTCTGCAGCTTCTCAGGGCAATCTGGTTACCACTACGTATCGTGAGATCAATGATTATATTCCTTTCATGCCTGTTATACGCTGCAGTGCACGTTGCGCATCGTGTATCAATGCTGGTCGGCACTTTTCTGTAGCCCACATTCAGTACCTCAAGCAGCACTACCTCAGCACCCGTCCACGCAGACTACCCGCGTCCACTATGCCAGGGACCAGTGTGCCTTAATCCATTCACAGCTGGCTCTGCGATCATCCATCTCATACTGAATGGCCCTTCGGATACCCTCGTGTGTCGCGATTGCTCGTGCGACTCGCAAACTGTACGTATCCACCCTTGGATCCGCCAGCAGAGCGTCGACGACAGGGACATGTGCGCCTTTGACCGCCAACACCAACGGAGACTCCAGCCATCGGTTCTCCAGGTTGGGGTCAATCCTTTTGTGTCTTAACAGAGTCCGGACTATTTCCAGGTCACCCGCACGGGCGGCAATCCCCAGAGCCGCGTCATGCGTCGTCAAGGTTCCTTGGTTGATTCTGAGTCGCTGTCCTTGCTGCACTAACAGTCTCACAGCCTCCAAGTGGCCTCCTACCGCCGCTTGGCATAGAGGAGGATCCATTAAAATTCCACCCGTATTGATTTCGACGCCCCTCTGATTCATAAGGATTCTCATTGCGCTCACTCTGCCTGCAGCAGCGGCGGCAGAAAAAGGGGTCTGTCTTGCAGCGTAGATATTCAGATCGATACCTGGAGCCGCCAGCAGCTGCTCCAAAATCGTGGTATCCAACCGAGACGCGGCATGGTGTAGTGGTGCCGAGGGTGTGTCTAGCTGACCGGAGCCGCCGATCAAGTTGGCATCAATGTTCTTTACAGCGAGTAGCCTTTCCGTTATCTCGTCATATGACAGTAACGTCGACCACCAAAGCGGGGTCTTTCCAGCATTATCCACACAGTTCACGTCAGAATGAGGATGCTGGAGAAGGAGGTCAACCACTTCCAAGCGTCGACTGCGGACAGCAAGATGGAGTGCTGTCGCACCATGGCTATCGATCGTCGCCACACCAGGACGTTTTTGTCTCAAGAGCACATTCACAGCATCCACCGATCCATGAAGAATCGCCTGATGCAGCGCTGGCTCATCGAAATCATTTTGCACTAGGTGAAAATAGTCTTGCCCCTTGAGAAATACGGCCCTCATAGATGGCCGGTTATATCGGGCGGCCCATGCCCAGGGCGAACTGCCAGTTTCGTCGGGCAAGTAGGGGTCACTGCCTTTGGACAGCAACAGCTCCGCCAATCCAATTTTGCCCCACCAGACGGCGAGGTGGAGTGCGGTTTGGCCTCTCTGATGCCGAAGATCGACTGCACAGTCCGTTAGTTCCAATATGGGCCGCAGCGTCGAGCATGAGCCATATTTGACCGCACACCACAAGGCGCTTTCGTGCTCACGGTTTTGGACATTGATATCTAGCCCACTACTTTTCAGGAGGAGCTTGAGCACGGCGGATGAAGAATAGTTAAGGGCCCTCATAACCGGGGTTCTCCTACGAAAGAAGGCATTGACGTTTGCTCCCTGATGAAGCAACATGAGCGTAAGATCAACATTGTCATCTTTGGCGGCTAGGCCAAGAAGATTGCTGTTCTGATGTTCGATGTTGAATTGGAGAATTCCCGTTCGTAGAAGGTGGTTCAGCGACCTGCAGGATCTTGCAAGAGCGAACTTTGCGCTACCATGTAGGTATGCGGCAATCATCAACACTAGTTCTGGGGGCAAGTCTCCCATTTGAGACTATTAATCTATTTAGTTTCCCATGGGCAATGTGTCGTGAGAAGACTTAACGAACCATGATGTAAAAGAAGTGTGAGAGGGTGTGAAATTGGGAGAAACCTGGCAGAAGGCCAAGAGACACGAGGGCAGCTTTATGAAGGGCTCCAATCCTTGGCCCAGTCCATCCGACTAGAGCGTCCAGCTATAGGTCGCATCATGCTCCTGGGATCTCTTCGGTGGATCCAGGGGTTTACTTTCTGATGGCAAAATCAGCATTGAGGACCCAAGGCGCTTTGTTACTCCTGGGAACGCCGAAGCTATTCCCCGGGTCGCTACAATTCTCTCAGCATGTCACAATTGATGTGACTCCAGATCACAGGCTATTTCTGTCCAGAGAATAAAGGGTAAAAGTGTCAAGGTATGCTGAATGCCGCGACGGTCCAGATAACACCATGTATTTTCAGGCAGCATCGGATCCAGTATGCCGAAAGGGCTCACTACTTACCACTTTAGGAGCCGTACAGCTCGCCACCAAAGCCTTGAAGAATGTTAAAGGAAACGCCGTCTGAAGAATACCATGGCCACGGTTGTTGGTGTATTTAAAGTAGACTCAGTGTCGCTTCGATTGCATCTCACTTTTATCAAAGTTTCATCCAAATCAGATATCCCCAAGCCACGAACTATCTCGACCGCTCTTCTTATTACAAATTGCTTCGCCATTTTGATAGAAGCAAGAGAATACATGAATACATCTGCGATCGATCCAATTTTGACTATTTATTTCCACAGCCATGACAAAACCTCATGGATTGGCAGCCCCATGCTCTAGCAAATTACGACGACCCTGCATTCCCTGTCGCGTTGCCAAAAAAGGATGCGATAGAGATATACCCGCCTGTCAGTCTTGCTGTGACCGTAGGCAACCGGATCTATGTTTGTATGAAGAACTGGTCCCTTTGGCCTTGGGACACAGGACAATGCCGGCAGCCCAGCCAGAAAGCTCGAAGCGGCAAATGGCTGTCTTCGAGGCCGAGCAGACGCAGTATAATGAGCGAAATGAGAAGACCATCGATTCACAAAGAGAGACTTGTGAGACCGGGCAAGTTGCCAATCAAACGGGGTATGAATGCCAATCTCCATCTGCCGACGTCTTATCTTCAAGAGACTTCCAAGCCAGCAACGGCCTGATAGAAAATTGGAAAAACGAAGGCGAAGTGGTGACATCGCAGAAGTCACCTCCCAATCCCGTCGGCCGCTTTCCGCTCAGTACAGGCGATCCTGAGGAGCGCCCGAGCTCTTTCGGCTCTTGTACAACGCAGTCATACTTTGATATGGCACTTCCGGTAAGTTGTGCAGTCTCGTTGTATATTAGCATTCACGGCTCACGCTATTCCAGGTTTCCTTGCCACCTCGGCTCCAACCCCAAATTCCAGCCACTGGCACTCCTTCAGCCGAGAGCCGCCACGCCTTTCATCAGCTCTTACTGGTTCTAAACTACTTATTCATTACTGCAATGCTCCCTGGAAACGAAGGCTCCTTGTGGGCCATAATATACCGGAATGACCTTGACTGGGAGAAGAGTTTCGTATTGCAGTACAGTCAGTTGCAGTCCTGGCTCACTGATATCCGCGACGCTTTAAGCGAATCTCAGGGCTTGCATACTATGTCCTGCGAAGAGTTGGAAATGCAGATCCGATATATTCTGTTCCTTCTCGGACAACATTCATCGCAAGAGTCTAGCTTTGTTCAAAAGTGTTTCGAACAACCCTGTTTTCCTTACAGACCATTTGGTGTGGGAGCCAGCATCGCTCTGATATGCTACGCTTTCATGGGTATTGATGCTCTGCATATACGGGGCTACGAATTGAAAGAGATCTGGTTACGTGACGAGCTATTCTATTCTGCCATGCTGGAGCATCTGAGAATGTCACCAATATTCTCCTCTGACCTCTCGATGGGGCAGCTGCAGTCCATCCTCACAAGCCTTCAAAGGGCGTTCCAGAACGAAGAAGTCAGGGTTGCGGCAGTACTTCCCCAAAGAATTGATGTCAAAAACAGAGCGGAGGTGATAGACTATTACACGCATGCATTCTTATCGTTAGATCCGCTCCTTCTTCTCA